GTCGAGGTGTTTCCTCAGCGGGAGAGAGGCCGCGGTTTGCGTGGCGTGAACTTTGGCTGCCCGCGAGCAGTGGCCTTTGGGGGAGGGAACTTGTTTAAAAGGCAGTTTTGCTTTAGCGTGGAGGGGAAAATGGCTGGGACGACGTTTGTTTTGAAATATCTTTTCTACTAGTAGGTTCTTTCCCGGAAGGTAGTTGTGTTATAAAACTCTTAATCCGTGCCTGTCAGTTCACTGGAAGCTGCCCGCTACTTAATTCCGCGCAGGCAGTTCATAATTCATGGCTGGCCGCCCTCTTTGCACTCGTTGAAAGGAAACGCTTTTTCTGACTACGCTATCGCGTTTTGCTTCCTCTTGTTACACCTCTTGAAAGTTATCTCTGAGCCTGCAAAGGTGTCTCAAGAGTGGCAAGCCTGGTTCGGATTATCGAGTGTCTGAACAGGGAAGGAAGAACGTTTTGAGAACGATTCAGCCGAGCTGGGCACGCATCGTCTCAGAGCCCAGCGGTGCAGTTTTGGGGCAAGCGTTCAAGTGAGACTGCAGAATTCCGATGCGTTAAGGCAAAATTGCCCGACATACATGCAGTTTGTCCAGCTCGGGACTTATTCCTGGCTGTGCTCCGTTCTACAAGCGGAGAACGAATTTCAGACTAAGTGACTCACTCCCAAATCTCATCTTCGTTGGGACCGTGCGGCAATCTCTCTGTCATGTGACACGTGTTATGAGGGGACACTTGTTTTTCTGGCTGTCCACTTAAATGCAGTGAACTATGCTCCCTGGCTGTCCCCGTGCTGCTGCTGGGGAAGGGGGCAGCCAGGACAGCTTTGATGGCAGCAGTCTGCTTTTGACTACACCCCATCCTCAGAGCAATTTCTGAGTGCAGAAGGACTTACCTCTGTGTGCGTGTATGTAAAGCATGCGGCAGAGTAAGCTATGTGGTTTGCCTGGCTGTAAACAGGAATCACTGCTGCTCTCTTTATACTTCCTGTGCCTAATTTGTAGGTGGCTTGGTCCCATAAGGAGGTGTCTTTTCATTGTCCAGCTCCGGTAGAAGACAGATAGCTGGGCGTATGGTTCGCCACCGTTCTCTTCTTTGTGGTGAAGGGTCTTGCTGCTCAGGGAAGTGGTTGAAAGTTGTGAGAGCTGGCATGGTCTGGTCTATGCACGTCAGGTGGCCCACAGGACAGGGTTTGAGAAGACCCCTTACGCAGTGTGCCGGAGGAAATGCTAATTCATGCTCGCCTGTGATGAAGTTAGTTACAAGTATGCTTTCACTTTGCTGTCATGGGCTTTTCTCTCACAGTCACAATTTAAATAGTTGCTTTTGCAGAGATTGCATAAAATAGTTAGTAGATCGAATGCCTGCAATATTTGTCTGTAAATACTTTTCCAGGAATTTCGTGAAGGTTACTTTTTTTGGGAGGGGGAGGGGTATTATTCTCTCTAAGCTTAGCTAGGCCTGTTTTATTTTGTATAAGCATAACCAAACTTGAACAGACAATGCCTTCCAGTGTGAGTTTGGCCCAAATTGTGCCAGACATGGCATAAAGGATGAACAAGTTGACGCAAGAGAAAATACATTACTAGAGTTAGGCTTTCGGTTATGTCTTTTCCCATTAAAACATACCCTTCCTTCCTACTAGTGACGAGGAGAGCTGTCCTCACCCACACGTACCCCAGGTTTATTGTTCTCTATCGGTTTGCATTGGGAGTGTTCAGTGACTCAGGGTTTCTCTGTTCCCTGTGAAACTTGGTCATGAGTGCAAATAGTGCTCTCTTAGGTCTGTGGCATTTATTCCTCAAAGAGGTGATTAAATGTGCAAAACTGCAGTAAAACAGTTACTTGGACATTTAAGGAAATTCTAAGTTGCAGAAGAAGTCTTGGACACCATAGAGGTAAGTGGCCTTGTCAAGGTCATTGCTCTATTTGGAGGCATTTGTGACTATAATAGGAAGCAGTTGTACTAGGGCAGAAAAGTGAAGTTGAAGTTTTTAGGTTTTTGTTTGTTTGTTTTTAAATTTGATGTGTCAGTCGTGTTGTGACTGTGTGCAGGCATTCTGTCCTGATAGTGCCAGATAATTATGGTGGAACATGATATGACGGGTGTGGGTGAATAGTTTGGTTTTTGAATTAGTAATGTTGCGCCTGCCTTGGAAAGATGCTCTCTTACTTTCAGACCTAGACCTTGCTATGCTCTATATTCATGTTTTATATGTCGAGGCAAATACCAGGCATTTTCCTTTTGACTTACACATGCCAAGATTTGATCTTGCATGCTGTTGCAAATTACAAATGTGAAGGTATGTGTTTTGAGCCATGTTGATTTAGTTTCCTTCCCAGCTCTTGAGGGTAAAGCCCAGGTTTTCCTGACCATGTAGAGGTTGCAGAAGTGTGAGATAATAGCTCAGTTGGGAGGGGAAGGAAGGAGAAGAGAAAGAAAAGGTAGAAAGTGGAGAGAAAAGAGACTAATCATGATATTTGTGACCTTGGTGCCACAAGGAGTCTTGTCACAGGAGACATGTCTGGGAATAGATTACCAAAAAGGTATGGGAACAGAGCAGTATTTATCCTCTTAGGTTATTACAGTTATTTTTTGAAAAGTAGAGGAATTTAAACAAAAGAAAGGAAATATATTTTTATAGAATTTTTTTGACATTTGTGTCACCATGACCATAGTCAAGGTAAACTATGAAGTGTGTTGTGGGCCCTGATCAGTGTGAAAAATCTGAGTTCCAAATTTGGGGTGTGCCTTGAGGTCAGATACACAAAATACACAGCTGCTTGGAAACGGTGTGGAGTGGGAGGAGAGATGGCCCTTATTTTTGCTGCCTAGTTTCAGATCCCAAACATTTCTACTTTGTGGAGGACGGGACATCCTTCGACCACACAGTGGAGGGATTGACCTGTGCAGGAGGTCAGGTTAAATGATCTCTTCCGACCTTAAAATCTGTGGCTTTTAGATGCCTGTTGAAAATACCCAAGTATTGGGCATTATGAACAGAAAAAGTTGTGGTATGTTTGCAGTGTCCTTGGCATATCCACAAGCATACTGCATTTTTACTGCTGTGCAGTATATATCCACGAATAAAACAAGACATACCCATCAAAGCATATTTTTGCTGATACAACTGATTCCCTGCAGGGGTCTTCTGTCAATATAGTGAAGTCACAGATGGCACTTCTTCACTCTCCTGATCAGCGTAGAGTTTGGGGGTCCCCCCGCCCCCTTGTTAAATGTTTACTGAAGAGACGTAAGGCCCTTTCTTTTGAAGACTGGCTGGTATTTTTCGTAAAGGTTTTGCTCCTTAGCACTAGTAGGTTCCTTCAGAAGCTCAAAAGGCAACAGAGTTCACTCATCTTAGAAGAAGACTACTCTTAAGTACTTTTCTTTTTCTATTTAAGTTTTAGTTGCTTGTCATTTTCCAGTGTCCTGAAACATCTTGGCCCTCTGGCCACCGCCTTTCCAGGGAATGTCATCATTGGGATGGTATTAATTGTTGAGATAACACGGAGGCTAAAGGGACCATTGTGCCATCTTTTGTCACAAGCTCTTTGCTGTACTTGTAATGAGCTCTTGGATAAAGGCATTGCTTCTGCGTAAGATGCCCTGTAATTTTTCAGAGTTTAAAGACAAATGAGGCAGTTAGGAGTTCAAGAAAATGCAAGTTGTGTGAATAATGCCCAGAAATTCTGGGTATGTGTCGGTGCATAGGCATGTGGTGGCTTGTACCAGCTGTTGGCCTCAGTTACCTAGTAAGGATAGAAGTTTTAGGGCTTGTCGTGTTCTTATGAGAGCATTTAGCCCACTGTGCTGGGGTGTGGGATGTGCAATGGGAGCAAAGTGGGTGATGCCAGATTGTTTATGCTTCTGTCTCACCAGCTTTCCTGCGTTCTTAAGCGGTGGTTATCCAGAGAGTGGAGACTGAGGCAAGGAGAAGCATATCCTTTTCACAGCCTTAATTTCCTTCTTGGTTTACTGTACACTGCTTTTCCACTTTCTGCTTTGTGTCGGTTTGGTCAGTGCGAGTTCCCAGATACAAAGCTGGGAGCAAATTGTTTCCTAGAGCTCCAGCTCTCAGGATCAGACCCAGGTTGTTCTTGGACATGCATGTCTTCCGGGGCCTTTTTTTCCATTTTTGCAGATACTGCACCTTTTTTCAGGTGCACCAGCCTCTTAAGAGCTTCCTTTTGAAAGTGCTTTTGTGTTGTTAGTGGTGTTCTTTGGGAACAAATACAGGCTGGATGTCTTAAACTTCTCATGTTTGTGAAAGGGCTGAATTTTTTATACTAAATTGTGATGCCTTTGGTAGTTGTAGCTTGATTTCTGAAAAGAGGCTTCTTGCATCAGTGTCTTCTTTCTGTTTTCAAAGCTTATATCCCTGTGCTGGCTAATGCTGCAAGTTTTTTGATGGGCTCCCTCTCCCTCTCCCTCTCCCTCTCCCTCTAAAAAAAAACCTGGGCCTTGTGGATAGAGCATTCCCTTTTTTTTTTTTTTTGTTAATATGCCTGATTCTACAAGAGACTGTTGAGATAAGAAGGCTTTACTGTATAATGTTTGGTTATCTTACAAGCTTTTAGTCTGAACCTGGTACGCAGTTCCTCCAGGTAGGATTTAGTTATCTTCTGCCTATTGTATTGTCCAAATTGGTTAGAAGAAGGAGCATTGTGCTGATGCTGTGCTTTGTGACTCTCTCTCTCTCTCTCTCTCTCTCTCTCTCTCTCCCCCCCACACACACACCCCACCCTGCCCCGAAAGCTCATATGCTGCTGTTGTAAGAGGCAATGAGGCATTTGTTATAGTTCACCAGAGAACATTTGGTTCAAAAATAGTGTTGCAGGAAAAAATGGAGAGGTTCACTTTTCGAAGCAGCAGTGGAAGCAGGCAACCTTCCAACACGTGTATGAAAACGTCTCCAGCTCCTATTTCAAGATGAGAAAAAGAAGCACATATTGATTGATGGAATCTAATCCATAGCTTTTGTTTGTTTGTTTGTTTTCACTATTTTAATAAGTGAAAGACAAGGCAAGTGTTCCCCCTGCCCCCAGCCTGAGTCTCCAGGTTTCTAGTCATGGTTTGAGTCCTGAAATGGTTTTGCAAAAACTCAAGATGTGCAGGGGTTTTGGTCTTACCTCTTGGTTATGATCTGAGAAGGCAAAGAATGGTAGAGACAGGATCCCTTGTGCTTTTCTGTCTGTAAATCAGCATACAAGAGGAAGAGGTAGAAAACCTGCTTTTTGGCAGTCTAGAATTGACACTCCTTCTTGTTCTCTGTGGCAGTTCTGGACTGTGCCAGTGTTCAGTGGCAGAGCCATTCCCTGCGAGAAGGGAATGACTGCGGCAATTACGTGGCACTTGGCAGTTTTAACTTTTTGGGAGATCGGGACTCTGATAGCCAGAATGAATACAGCTATTTTATTATCTTAAGAACTGAAGGCCAGATGTGAGCTTGGTAGAATTTCCTTACCAAGTCCTATTTTGGGTAGTTACATATTTAATTCCAAAGGTCAGTTGACGTTTGTATTGCCTGAAGTGATGGGTCAGCAAAGCATGGATGGGTGAGTCTTAGCTCTGCAGCTTGTAGCCTCTTGCTGCCTTGGCAAGCTCTTTCACATAGACTCAAAGCGTTTGTCTTAAAAGTGCCTTTCAGTAGCTTTGCCTTACCTCTTCTTTTTAATTCTTCTTGTTTGGTTTCTGAATTTATTGGGCAAACGGGACTGTGAGGAAGAAAGTTAGTGTCCTATGCACAGGAAAATGACCTGTTCATGAATATTAAATAACTTTTTTTTTTTGGGGGTGGGGGGGGGGTTTGAAAAATATTTGTAAACTAGTTCTAATTGGGAAAATGTGATATGCTTAAAATCAGGAAGGATGTGGTTTACCCAGAACCTTAAGATGCCTACAGCTACATCCTGGGTGAATTGCAGCTGCCTCTAACCAGTACTCAGAATCATTTTGGACGTGTTTCTGTAGCTCATCATTACAGTGATATTTCAGTGAATTCAATTGTCCCTTGAGAGCAGAGGAGTGAATTCGGAACCCTGGGAAGATTTGAGTTGAAATCTTAGCATCGTGTTATATTTCAGGCTTAATGTTTTGGTCTGATACTTGATCTAAGCTCTAACAGCAGCCTACAGTCACATGATGGAGAGCCAGGGAAGCTTTTTTTAAGGTACTGTTATGCTCCAAGCTATATTTGTGTTTTTAATAACTTAGTCAAAAAGTGGCTTCATAAAAATATCAGTTGGGCCTTGAATGCAAGGTTCATTAAGGTACTTGAGGGAAAAATACTGTCCACCTATAATGAAGTTACTTTCGCTATATGCTTGGTTCAGCCTTTGGCTCTTGTAATATCCAGAGAATACTAAGCATCCCACCTCTAGGGATGTCTTTGGCAGCAGTGAACCAGGTGTGTCCTTTACAAAAAAAACCCAGCGTTTAGAGAATTCCATAAGCCACGCGCTGCAATTTTTTAAAACTATCACAGCTTGGAGCAACTGTGCTGTTTTGACAGTGGAGAGGCTCTCCTCTCAGTTACTCTGTCCTGCTCACTGTGTAGAAGGGGCTTGAAAGGAACCATCACGTTTTGAACATAGTTCTTGTTTTAGAGCTACTTTAGATTCTGGAGTTATGCCCATGCATAGCTAAGTTTTCCCAGGGTGCTCTGTGAATGCTTAGCTGTCTTGTAATGAATTCTGAGTGGGTATCTTAGCATAAGCTTGCTCTGATTTTCCTTGGAAGACGCTGCTGCATTGTCTTGTCTATATACTGAAAGCCTCAGTGTTGTTCGTCAAAGGCTTGATTCTGCAAATGCCACGTATGCGAACAAGTGCGTGAATAGGAAGCGTTTGCCATGCTAGTTCTCGACTCCTTACATAATGCTCAGAACCAGGAATAACCAACAACACGCTGAAGCAAAGCGTTATTTGTTAAACTCTTGGTTTTCCATGGGCGTTTACTGTTCCACAAATTAGATGTTTAAATTATTTAGTTATATTCTGATAATGCCTAGGAGTCCTTTTCTGCCAGGCGCATACGCGTATTTAGACAGATCTGTGTAGAAGAGCTGGTGCCTTAAATGGAGGGAATGAGCAAAGGTTGGCAGAAGTGAAGTGATTTACTAAAGATCATGCATGTGTCAGTGGCGGGCTTGGGAATTATCTGTTTCCTAGCTCTCAAACCAGTATTTTGGCCCTGAATCACCTTGTTTGTAGGAGTATGTCTCCTGTTTCCTGTACGTGTTAGAGAAGGCAAGTGATATAACTGTATATGGTGTACAAAATCTGGGATATAGATATTAGAGTTTGGTACAGCACAGTGACATGAGCATCTGATGTAGGAGTTGGCAGATTAAAAAAAAAAATCCATGCAGATAGCATTAGGCATGATGGTGGAAATACTTAGATCCTGAGTAATCATGAGATAGCACCCACTTACCCAGGTCAGGCAAAGGATGGTAAACTTGCTCGTAAAAGGTTAACTTCATTCCTTTCTGACAGATCTCACTGGGTAGGTTTGGGAAGGCAGAGTTGTTGCCCAGCGGGTTTGAAGTACCAAAGGGCTGAATCTCATCCCTCTGGAAGCTAAAAGGAAACAGCCCTTTGACAAGGGAAGGAAAAATACCTCCTGCATCTTCTGTCTGTGAATTTGTACATACTTGCTGGTCTCAGGCAGCCCTTCCCACATCTCCCCGCACTGTTGCATTTTCAGGGATTCCTTGGATGTTTATTTCTAAGGGTGTATCTCGCGTGAGCAGACAGGAAGGGGTCTTGGACGTAGACGTACCTTATCTTAGCTACTTGTAGGAAATTATGTAAGATGCTTCCTTGTTCAGAAACTCCTCTAAACGTATCCTGAAATCTGCTGACGTGTGGTTTCCTGGCTGTTTTCCCTTTGAGATCAGCTACTCTGGAACTACAGGATCTGACCCTGTTCTGGGCTATGCATCTTTTATTTTGGGGAAAATGTGCTGCTTGCACACTTGGAAAGGCTTAGATCAGCAAGCTTAGAATTTCCTTAGAGGAAAAAGTCGGAAGGCTTTTACTGAAACGGTTTGTTGGTGTGATGGGTGTGGGACTGGGGTTACAGCGTGCAACAGTCACTGAACCAAGCTGTTCACCCCTTCTTCCTCCCAGAGATTTGAGTAGCAGCTTGTGAACTGCCTGACACGTGCCTGAGCCACGTCATCAGATGTCTGTTTACCTTAATGCACTGGACTGCAAAACTGCGACGGTTAGGAGGTGATCTGTGGGCCTTGCATAACCACTGTAAACAGCTTCTTTGCATAGGACTTATAGTTGTGTCACTGTACTGTGATAAACTGCCTTGAAAGCAGGTGAGACAACTGTAGCTAGCACACCCCATATTTTTGTCTGCAGAGGTACAGTGGGACTGAAAAATATCTGTACTGGGAAGAATTATAATGGCTCTACATGTATGTTTTATTTTCTCAGCACAGTGAAACGTGCAAAAAGGGAACAGACTTGTTAGTTCTTTCAAGCAACATGGAGACCTGATCCTTTACAAACTTGCTTCTACAACAAAGTTGTAAAGCGAAACACAGGAAGAGAGTCAGTGTGCTTTAGAGGTGCTTAGCAGCTTTTGGGTAAATTTGGTCACGTGCCCTGAATTGTAGCAGCTGCAGTCTGAGCTGAAGAACAAATGTGCCAGTTTTGCCTCGCTTTATTCATGAGCTAAGTACCAGCCTCTGACGTGAGCCTGTTTTTCCTCTGGCAAAAACACTGGAATTGTTTTGTCCCACTTTTAGGTGTCTAAAATGCAGGTCGCTGAGATGTAGGACATATCAGCGTGACAGTTTTGGGCCTGAAGGGACAGCATGGGCTATTGATGCCTATCGGAGTGTGAAAGTCAGGAATTTTAGGTCAGCAGTTACTGACTGATCTACTAGGATGAGCTTGATACAAGGGGTGTTTAAAGCCTCTGCTATAAAGAGGAGGTTGATTTCCCCTGCCCCACCCCCCTTTTTCCTGGGCTTTAATAACAGAATTTGAGTCATGGGCCTTGGGAAGGGGGAGGGGAAAAAGTGACTGCCTACAAGTAGCAGATTTGAGGCCTTGCTTGGAGAGAGCTCAGAAATGATATTTTGATAAGAAGACTTGGGCAGAGTATCTCCTGGAGGGGACTGGGAACTGTTTCTATCTGAACTCTTCTCTTGATTGTGCTCTGTGTGGTAGAACCACCTCTACGTCGTCTTTGTCAGCACCGACAGTGAAATAGTTATTGTGACTCAGAACTAGCCATCAGTGAAACCGAGGAGCATAAAGCATCCACAACTGCCACCCAGCCTTCATTTGGCATCCTCCACATCATTACAATTACAACCTCAGAAACCTTACTTCCATTTACCAACTTGCTTCACCTGCCTTAGCGTGGGAAATGTCTCCAAGTTAGAAGCACTGTTGTGTGATGGGGGCCACTTAATTATGTGAAAAAGGCTGATTCCCCACCCCACCATGCTGACTTGAGACAGCAGAGGGAACAAAACTGTTTTGAAAATTTCCATTATCTTCATGTTTTATATGAAAGCAGAAATTAGCTAGAACTCAGTTTATGAATAGTAAACTGAGTTTTAATCTCTACAGCACGGTGCGTTAGCTGTTGACCTCAGAGTATTTGTCTTTATTCGTTACGTGCCTTCGTAACTCTTAAGCGGAATTGTAGTATGCATCAGAGTGTTGGTGACGGATCAACTCTGTTTTTAAAAATATTCATGTTATGAAAGTGGAAACTGTGATAGCTGTTCATTTTAATATCCTTCCCAAAGGTGCTCCTAAATGAGCGCTTGATGTTAACTACTGTTCCAGTGATAGGATAGGTACAGAGTAGAGCCATAGTTCTTTGGTCTCATTTCAGTCTGCTGCACAAGCATTTCCAGGAGCTGGATAAAATTACATTTCTTGTTGTTGCAGGTCTCTGTGCTGATTGACTGTTGTTAGGGTTCGTTAACTGTTTGTGAGTGCCAAGTTTGGATGTTGCTGTCAGAAAGGCCACAATGATGAAGTTCAGTACTTAGCAGCAGTTTCAGGGACAGCTTGCTTGTCTGTCTATCCTCAGTTTATTCCTGTGCTTGTATTCTGCAGGTTGCATTGATCATGGACAGTGAAGAAATTCCAACTTTTTCGAGTCCAAAGGAGGAAACTGCTTATTGGAAAGAGCTTTCCTTGAAGTACAAGCAAAGGTACCGTTGTGGATTTGTAGGTTGGGTTTGGTTCTTAATGACCGGAACATGGCTTAATCTGCGAGGCTTTACTGAGTGTTACATATGTTAAAATGCATCTCTGCTTTTTAAGCTTTAAAATTTCCAGGCTTGTGGAAGCTGAATATCTCTTGCACAGTGCTACCATGCCATGAACTCTAGGCTGTGTTTTAAGCATGTGCAAGCAAGAACAGAGCCCTTCTGCAATCATGTGCATCTTTGTATAATTAAAGTGCTGCCTTAAGTAGTAACTTGACGTTTTATCTTAAGGAAAGCTTCCTTTGGACTTACCTTTGCATGAGAACTGTTTCCTCAGGCTTCTTGTAGTTGAATTATTTGTATGAAAAGTGGCAGATTTGACGTCTATTGCAACTTACTGAAATGTATTTTACCTCATATTCTGGCCTGTTTAGTTGGTTGGATGTTTTTTGGGAGGGCTCCCAGCTTGTTTTCTTTAGAAAGCTTTCCTTGCATGCAATGTTACTTTTGTGATTTGAGGGGCAGCCAGTTAAACCTCCCGTAAGCTCTTTGGGCTTAAACCTCTTTTGAGTGTAATAACTTTTTTGTTTTTGTTTTTTTTCTTCTTCCTTCCCCTTTGGGTACATGGATGGGCATGTGGAGAGGCCTCGCATCCACTAAGCTACTCTTTGGTGTCAGAAAATTATGCCTCTCGGACATCAAAGCAAAAGTTATTTCCTAAAACCTTTCTAATTTTCATTGCTGCTTACTAAGAGCTGAACTATTAAATATGGTAAAGATGCAAATTTAATAAGTGAAGTATGTGGAGTGACTACTTTTAGCAATTCAATACCTTGCAGTGGTATAAGGTAAGTATGGCTTCCTGCCTAAGTGCTTAATAACTTTAAGATTCAGATCTTAACACTTCTCAAGAACCTTACATTTTCATGCAGTGCAGAGATATGGTAACCGTTGTTCTCTGTTAAACTTTTTGACCAAAATCAGCTTAAAGTTCACTTTATTCATTGACTTGCTCAAGTCTATTGGAGTGAAAGCTAATGGTGTACAAAGCGCTTGTAAGACTGTTGGATCCCGTTAATAGCCTTGATATGGATTGTATTCAAACCTGCATTTAATGTAGCTGATTGTTGGATGTAAGGGAATGAATTTCCTCTTGTAGCTTAACAAGAGTAATTTCTTTCTCTCACCATTTTTCCTCCTCTCTGTAGAGGTCTATTGTCCTCACACTTAATAACCTGAAAAACAGAGTTTTTCAGGACTTATTTTGGAAGAGCAGTGTATTTTATTTGAACTTGAGAGATGCTGGATTTTCAATGGATAATATCCTCTCCTTACAGTTTCCAGGAAGCTCGGGAAGAGCTGGCCGAATTTCAGGAGGGAAGCAGAGAATTAGAAGCTGAGTTGGAGGCACAGCTAGTGCAAGCTGAACAAAGGAATAGAGATTTGCAAGCAGATAACCAAAGACTGAAATATGAAGTGGAAACATTAAAGGTAGGTCTTGTAAGAAGAGGCAGTGCCATCACAGACAGATATGTTTTGGATCTCGTTTTAGATTCTCTGTTTTTTACCGGTGTTAACTGCATATCCAAATGAAGTAAAGCAGTCATCTGTTTAAGATCCAGTCTTGAGTATGGCATGTACGCCAAATAAGGCCAGTAACTTACCGGGGAAAATTCTGGAGGAATTTTTCTTGTTCGTATCATTAAGCTGTTGTCACTGAGTTTGTTCATTTGTTTGAATTCTCTAGGCTTTGCCAAGTAATAGCTTTATTACTCACATAAGCCACATTAACATAGCAACAGGGCAGACAACACAAGTATGTTTTGTCAGACCACTAAATTATCATCTGTCTTTGCAAACTGCTTTTTTATCAGAATGTTTCCTTGGTTCTGTGAGACCTGAAAGAAAGCTGAAGACAGGTGATTTGTGCACATCCTTTAGAGTTTCTCATAATTCGTTCGCAATAGCCTTATCTGTGGACAAAGGAGCTGCATAACCATGCAGATGTGCAAAAGATGACTTTCAAGTAATGCCACTGAGTTAACAAGTTCTTACCTCTTCTGGGATCCTGGAAAAGGGTCATTTTTTGGTAGTATTGGGATACTGTATTGAAGAGGAGGCTTGGAAACCTCCACAGTGGAAATAAGTTTTATGGGTTTACTTGTTCTCTTATCCAGTCCTAGTTGTACCTGTAAGGTCAGTATGTGTTTTGTAAGATCAGTAGTTTTTTCTGCTACCCCCTATCTGTACCTTCCAGGCTGTTGATAGTGTGTTTAGGAATGGATTCTACAGTCTTTCGAAAATGAGCTTGTAGAGCTTCTCTTTGCAGTCAGGAGGTTTTACAACAAATTCCAGCGGCTCTCCTTTTTTGCTAAAGGAGATGTCAGGCAAGTTATAGTTACAGTGTGGCTGTTCTCTAGAGAGAGGCACTGAGGGGGAGGCAGTGCAGTTAGATTTCTCTTTGGTGTCTTAGATGTTTGAGGCTTCAGAGCAGCTGTCAGTGCAGACTGTTTGTAACAGATGCAGAGATGCATCTCTGAACAGCCAGCTGTGTTATGATGAGATCTCTGTGCACAATGCAGTGTTTGTAATTGTAGATTGTGGCCCGTTCTGATGTTCAGAACATGTTCCTTCTAACTCTTCAGTTTCTGCTGTGTGTTACCAGCAATCCCAAGTCAGCAGTCTGCGGCTAGTATGTTACTTTGTTTGCCCCGTTTTACTCCTGATGACTTGGAGGATGTATGTTACAGATGTTTACCTCGCTACTTCTCTTTCTTTCAGGAGAAACTGGAGCACCAGTATGCACAAAGTTACAAGCAAGTGTCATTGTTAGAGGATGACCTGAGCCAGACACGGGCCATTAAAGATCAGCTGCATAAGTATGTGAGGGAGTTGGAACAGGCCAACGATGACTTGGAACGTGCGAAGAGGTGAAGACTGCAAGCCTCTTATTTCTCTAAGATTTTCACTAGATCTTTTCTTTATTACTTAGATTCATCATTTTATTATTTTTTTTAAAGAAAAAAAAATGCACACTCAAAACCCAAGACACATGATTCTGTTGTACAGTTTAGTTTACCCTTAGAATTGAGATCCATCAACTGGTAACATTACATTACAACAAGGAAGGTAAGAGGTACCTTAAGTGCTTGATATTCCTGTGAGAAAAGAATAGTAAAAGCAGACTTAGAGCAAGCCAGGCCAGTGCACTGGGTTTGATACTAGCAGCTAGGTTACTCTTATATTATATTTGGGATCCTTGTAGCTCAAAGCCTCTTTGAAGCAAGAAGCTAACGTTTTACATAGCCCCTGTTAAATAAAGCAGGCCAAAGGAGTCTCCTCTTCTCTTGCATAATGACTTAATGACTGTAGGGAACAGATGTGTCCTGCGTAAGTGCATAAAATGAACAGGCTGCTGTTAGAAACACCCTATTTTGGAGTAGATCATGCTTCTGTTTTGCTGAATGGGAATTTTGCCATTGATTCAGTGGGAGCAGGAATGAGCCTCTGGCTATGTGGTAGAAGGATCTCAGAGATGAGGCCCTGTTTCCACAAGACTCTTAACCACACAACTAGTTTTTGACACAAGTTGTCCCACTGAAATCATGGAATGAACTAGGCCTTAGGTAATATCCCAGTACCCTGCTTTCTGGACTTCCTAGGCTGTTGCCTGGTGAGAGCTCTGGAGAGTGCAGCACCTCCTGAGTCGATGCACTGATAATATGCATAGCTTTGGAGAATAGCATGGGAAAAATGGAGCTCGGTGTGCTTGATTGGCTCTTTACCAGCTCTTTGGTACATTTGTGAGAGCCAGATGCTATCATGTTCTTTTCATCTCACTCCCTTGGTTCATTGGAGTTTATTAGTCCTTTCTAGGAAGCGTTTCCATAGCTTTCAAATGACTAACTTGAATATAGACCCTGCTAACATTTTTTTCTCTATTATGTTTTTGAATACGCTTTTATTTTAGTGAAGCTGAAGAACCTAATATTCTGGATTTTGTTTCTAGGGCAACAATAGTTTCATTGGAAGACTTTGAACAAAGGCTAAACCAGGCTATTGAGAGAAACGCGTTTTTAGAAAGTGAACTGGATGACAAGGAATCGTTGCTAGTTTCTGTACAGAGATTAAAGGATGAAGCAAGAGGTAAAGCTTGCTTGATTATTCTATGTCTTAGTACATTGTTGGCTTGTTGACAAAGACGCGCAGCAACCAAAGCTCATGTTTATACAAAGCCTCTCTTAATGGAACTCAAACTGGATGTGTAATCTAAGTGTTAGATACTACTTATAAACAGTATGTTCTGTATTCTTTGTGTATCGAGTGTAGTTAAGGGAAAATTCCCTTGTGTAGGGGAAAAATTAATACTGGATTCATTCAGGATTTTTGGCCAAGGTGAGTACAAAAGAATTGCATTCCACAGCTGTAATAAAGTAGAGGACTGTGCTCCAAAGGTTCCCGTTCCTTGGGTTTGTGTTGTGTGCGAAGGGAAGATAAATGACAGGGAAAGAAATGATAAATGCTTAAATAGCCTTCCTTAAAATAAAGCCCCTGTTTTCTGTTCCTTCCAAACCTCTTGGAAATGGTCTGGTTTATTGAAGATATTCCAGTAAAGACTGTGGCTGGAGCTATGAGATCAGGTGTTCAAGACAGCATGTTCTGGGATATCATCAAGAGTTGGGAATTTCCCAATAGCTTTCATGTTGATGATGCCACATAAACATTTTTAATTTGTTTTTGTTTCTTTTTGTTTTGGTTCAAAGCTGATTTCTCTAATAGTGGAGATGCCTTGTTCATAAACCTGTGCATGGCGTCAGTATAGCTTAACGATGAGTGATTTTCAACTTTATTTTTCCAAAATGAAGCTATCTAGAAAAATTCCTCAGATGAGGCATAAATCTGAGTTTAAGACTATGTTTGACAACAGGCTGGGGTGTTGAGCGGTGGTGTTATTGTTTTGTTTTTGTGAATTGAGTTTGTGCCCATAAATCGAAAGCTGCTCTTGTAAATACAGTTGTTTCTGATAATAAATGAGAAAAGGGGAGATCACGTATTTTCTGAAGGAATATATGTATTGTAATTTGGGATTAGGACAATAGTACTAAAAAAAACAGGGGAAACCTAAGGGATTGTTTTATAGAACATTGAAATAATCAGCAAATAATGTTTCTTGAATGAGTCATTTGGAAACCTTTAGCATTTATTAGGATAGCAAAGCTTCATGTTATTCCCCAGGTACTATGCAGGAACGTTAGCCATTAAAAACCTCATACTGCGTCAAACTCGGATCTAAAATTTCCAGTTAACAATTGCAACTTCTGTTCTAGGAGTCCAAGCAGACTTTTAATTCAGCTGTGCTGTTTTTCTTAAAATGAGCTATAAGAATTCACAACAACTTAAAAGCTGTAACATACAACTAATTTTGCACTTACTCATCTTACCAGATTGAGGCAAGGAATAAGAAATCTGGGAGAGTCAGTTGCCCTATCCATTACAGAATAGCAGTACACCCTTTGTAACATATTATTTATTTGCGTCTAGCCCCATGTAGGGACTTTATAGACTCATTATCTAATTTTGGTGGATGGCCTTTGTAGAGAATGTGCATGGAAATGGGAGGGCACAAGGTAGGGATAACAGAGGTGGTTGGGAGAAGAGGTGAGATTTAAAACCTGAGTTTCCTAATGTCCAACCTTTTCTCTGTGTTTTGGACCACCCAGCCTCTTCAGTCTGCTTTTTACTTGTTGGAGAATAGACAAACTGGGGACAACTCCTTCACTATCTTTTCCTTGCATGTAGTCCTGTGGATTACTAACTGAAAGGATAACGTGGGGAACTGGAAATACAAGACTATGTCATTCTGCCAACAGAGGCAGCGAACAGACGCAGCAGTTTGTGCAGCAGTGTCTGGGCTCTGCCTGGGCCTTTTGTGGGCCTTGTTGGAAGTTGTGGAGACTTTCTGGGGACCCCCGAGGAACTAGACAGTGCTTGCTGCTAGCAGGAAGGGAGAGCTGGGCAAGCATAACTGCAGGAGGCCTTGACTTAACTGCTCCTGGGAAGTTCTAGCTAGGTGGGGCTGCTGCTAACGAGCTCCCTGAGTTGCCCTGGTCACAGGGAGTTGGGGCTTTTGTTTCAGGTGGCTCCTGATTGGGTGGGTCAAGCACCCTTGTGAGTCACTGCTAGGCAGAGGCCTATATAAGAGCCAGGCCTAGAGCGCAGCTCCCAGAGCGCAGCCAACAGAGGCAGCGAACAGACGCAGCAGTTTGCGCAGCAGTGTCTGGGCTCTGCCTGGGCCTTTTGTGGGCCTTGTTGGAAGTTGTGGAGACTTTCTGGGGACCCCCGAGGAACTAGACGGTGCTTGCTGCTAGCAGGAAGGGAGAGCTGGGCAAGGACTCCTGCAGGGGACCTTGACTTAACTTCTCCTGGGAAGTTCTAGCTAGGTGGGGCTGCTGCTAACGAGCTCTCTGGGCTGCCCTGGTCAGAGGGAGTTGGGGCTTTTGTTTCAGGTGGCTCCTGATTGGGTGGGTCAAGCACCCTTGTGAGTCACTGCTAGGCAGAGGCCTATATAAGAGCCAGGCCTAGAGCGCAGCTCCCAGAGCGCAGCCAACAGAGGCAGCGAACAGACGCAGCAGTTTGCGCAGCAGTGTCTGGGCTCTGCCTGGGCCTTTTGTGGGCCTTGTTGGAAGTTGTGGAGACTTTCTGGGGACCCCCGAGGAACTAGACGGTGCTTGCTGCTAGCAGGAAGGGAGAGCTGGGCAAGGACTCCTGCAGGGGACCTTGACTTAACTTCTCCTGGGAAGTTCTAGCTAGGTGGGGCTGCTGCTAACGAGCTCTCTGGGCTGCCCTGGTCAGAGGGAGTTGGGGCTTTTGTTTCAGGTGGCTCCTGATTGGGTGGGTCAAGCACCCTTGTGAGTCACTGCTAGGCAGAGGCCTATATAAGAGCCAGGCCTAGAGCGCAGCTCCCAGAGCGCAGCCAACAGAGGCAGCGAACAGACGCAGCAGTTTGCGCAGCAGTGTCTGGGCTCTGCCTGGGCCTTTTGTGGGCCTTGTTGGAAGTTGTGGAGACTTTCTGGGGACCCCCGAGGAACTAGACGGTGCTTGCTGCTAGCAGGAAGGGAGAGCTGGGCAAGGACTCCTGCAGGGGACCTTGACTTAACTTCTCCTGGGAAGTTCTAGCTAGGTGGGGCTGCTGCTAACGAGCTCTCTGGGCTGCCCTGGTCAGAGGGAGTTGGGGCTTTTGTTTCAGGTGGCTCCTGATTGGGTGGGTCAAGCACCCTTGTGAGTCACTGCTAGGCAGAGGCCTATATAAGAGCCAGGCCTAGAGCGCAGCTCCCAGAGCGCAGCCAACAGAGGCAGCGAACAGACGCAGCAGTTTGCGCAGCAGTGTCTGGGCTCTGCCTGGGCCTTTTGTGGGCCTTGTTGGAAGTTGTGGAGACTTTCTGGGGACCCCCGAGGAACTAGACGGTGCTTGCTGCTAGCAGGAAGGGAGAGCTGGGCAAGGACTCCTGCAGGGGACCTTGACTTAACTTCTCCTGGGAAGTTCTAGCTAGGTGGGGCTGCTGCTAACGAGCTCTCTGGGCTGCCCTGGTCAGAGGGAGTTGGGGCTTTTGTTTCAGGTGGCTCCTGATTGGGTGGGTCAAGCACCCTTGTGAGTCACTGCTAGGCAGAGGCCTATATAAGAGCCAGGCCTAGAGCGCAGCTCCCAGAGCGCAGCCAACAGAGGCAGCGAACAGACGCAGCAGTTTGCGCAGCAGTGTCTGGGCTCTGCCTGGGCCTTTTGTGGGCCTTGTTGGAAGTTGTGGAGACTTTCTGGGGACCCCCGAGGAACTAGACGGTGCTTGCTGCTAGCAGGAAGGGAGAGCTGGGCAAGGACTCCTGCAGGGGACCTTGACTTAACTTCTCCTGGGAAGTTCTAGCTAGGTGGGGCTGCTGCTAACGAGCTCTCTGGGCTGCCCTGGTCAGAGGGAGTTGGGGCTTTTGTTTCAGGTGGCTCCTGATTGGGTGGGTCAAGCACCCTTGTGAGTCACTGCTAGGCAGAGGCCTATATAAGAGCCAGGCCTAGAGCGCAGCTCCCAGAGCGCAGCCAACAGAGGCAGCGAACAGACGCAGCAGTTTGCGCAGCAGTGTCTGGGCTCTGCCTGGGCCTTTTGTGGGCCTTGTTGGAAGTTGTGGAGACTTTCTGGGGACCCCCGAGGAACTAGACGGTGCTTGCTGCTAGCAGGAAGGGAGAGCTGGGCAAGGACTCCTGCAGGGGACCTTGACTTAACTTCTCCTGGGAAGTTCTAGCTAGGTGGGGCTGCTGCTAACGAGCTCTCTGGGCTGCCCTGGTCAGAGGGAGTTGGGGCTTTTGTTTCAGGTGGCTCCTGATTGGGTGGGTCAAGCACCCTTGTGAGTCACTGCTAGGCAGAGGCCTATATAAGAGCCAGGCCTAGAGCGCAGCTCCCAGAGCGCAGCCAACAGAGGCAGCGAACAGACGCAGCAGTTTGCGCAGCAGTGTCTGGGCTCTGCCTGGGCCTTTTGTGGGCCTTGTTGGAAGTTGTGGAGACTTTCTGGGGACCCCCGAGGAACTAGACGGTGCTTGCTGCTAGCAGGAAGGGAGAGCTGGGCAAGGACTCCTGCAGGGGACCTTGACTTAACTTCTCCTGGGAAGTTCTAGCTAGGTGGGGCTGCTGCTAACGAGCTCTCTGGGCTGCCCTGGTCAGAGGGAGTTGGGGCTTTTGTTTCAGGTGGCTCCTGATTGGGTGGGTCAAGCACCCTTGTGAGTCACTGCTAGGCAGAGGCCTATATAAGAGCCAGGCCTAGAGCGCAGCTCCCAGAGCGCAGCCAACAGAGGCAGCGAACAGACGCAGCAGTTTGCGCAGCAGTGTCTGGGCTCTGCCTGGGCCTTTTGTGGGCCTTGTTGGAAGTTGTGGAGACTTTCTGGGGACCCCCGAGGAACTAGACGGTGCTTGCTGCTAGCAGGAAGGGAGAGCTGGGCAAGGACTCCTGCAGGGGACCTTGACTTAACTTCTCCTGGGAAGTTCTAGCTAGGTGGGGCTGCTGCTAACGAGCTCTCTGGGCTGCCCTGGTCAGAGGGAGTTGGGGCTTTTGTTTCAGGTGGCTCCTGATTGGGTGGGTCAAGCACCCTTGTGAGTCACTGCTAGGCAGAGGCCTATATAAGAGCCAGGCCTAGAGCGCAGCTCCCAGAGCGCAGCCAACAGAGGCAGCGAACAGACGCAGCAGTTTGCGCAGCAGTGTCTGGGCTCTGCCTGGGCCTTTTGTGGGCCTTGTTGGAAGTTGTGGAGACTTTCTGGGGACCCCCGAGGAACTAGACGGTGCTTGCTGCTAGCAGGAAGGGAGAGCTGGGCAAGGACTCCTGCAGGGGACCTTGACTTAACTTCTCCTGGGAAGTTCTAGCTAGGTGGGGCTGCTGCTAACGAGCTCTCTGGGCTGCCCTGGTCAGAGGGAGTTGGGGCTTTTGTTTCAGGTGGCTCCTGATTGGGTGGGTCAAGCACCCTTGTGAGTCACTGCTAGGCAGAGGCCTATATAAGAGCCAGGCCTAGAGCGCAGCTCCCAGAGCGCAGCCAACAGAGGCAGCGAACAGACGCAGCAGTTTGCGCAGCAGTGTCTGGGCTCTGCCTGGGCCTTTTGTGGGCCTTGTTGGAAGTTGTGGAGACTTTCTGGGGACCCCCGAGGAACTAGACGGTGCTTGCTGCTAGCAGGAAGGGAGAGCTGGGCAAGGACTCCTGCAGGGGACCTTGACTTAACTTCTCCTGGGAAGTTCTAGCTAGGTGGGGCTGCTGCTAACGAGCTCTCTGGGCTGCCCTGGTCAGAGGGAGTTGGGGCTTTTGTTTCAGGTGGCTCCTGATTGGGTGGGTCAAGCACCCTTGTGAGTCACTGCTAGGCAGAGGCCTATATAAGAGCCAGGCCTAGAGCGCAGCTCCCAGAGCGCAGCCAACAGAGGCAGTTCCCTGGAGATATTCAAAACCCGTCTGGATGTGATCTTGGGCAATATGCTGTAGGTGACCCTGCTTGAGCAGGGCGGTTGGACTAGATGATCTCCAGAGGTCCCTTCCAACCTAAACGATTCTGTGATTCCTGCCTTTTCCCATCCTCCTCTTTAAAGCAAGAACTGAACACAGTTTAGCAGGGATTTGTGACCTTCTAAGAGAGTCTTGTAATGCTTTTTCCATGGGGTTCAAACTACAGGTGGGGGAAGGGGGAAATGCTGAGGTCAAGGGCATGCAGTTCTCTGGTCCTGGGAGAGCTATGTTTGCTGGCTCTTTACTCCCAACTGTAATGGAAAATGTTGATAGTTGCGACTGCTCCGAGATTTTAGGTCCGCACTAATGGAGGAAGTAGATCTGTTGATTGGTTGGAAATAATGTTTGGTTGTTGCAGAGTATTTTGTATGTTTCCCGCTCTCCCTCCTCCCCAGTGAGCAGAGTGTACTTGCTAGAGAAATTGGTTATAAATATAATATTTTTTTCTTCTTTCAACCCTCAGACTTACGGCAAGAGCTAGCAGTCCGGGAAAGGCAACAAGAAGTCACCCGAAAGTCAGCACCTAGCTCTCCGACTCTAGACTGCGAAAAGATGGATTCGGCTGTCCAGGCATCTCTCTCCCTGCCAGCTACACCTGTTGGAAAAGGATCAGAAAATAGTTTTCCTTCCCCAAAAGGTATGCGTCACAGAAACTTGGCCTAGTTGCTTGGGAGTATGTTCCCTTATCAACAATGTCAAACCAGGCTCTCCTTAGTAAATCTTGGGTAAGCTTAGGTGCCTGCGCATTGCATAAGATGTGTTTAAATCCTGGGGCAGCATCAGGTGCACTTGGTTTTTGGTGAGCAAATGTGACAGAAAATGAGGATGATGTTTGATGTGAGGCTTAGCTAGGCCTCACAACAAACGTGTGTGTGTGTGCGTGTGTGTGTGTGTGCTCTCCCTGCAGTAAAGTATTGGAGATGTTTGGGACTGCAGAAGTATACTGACTGGATGTTTCTGCTTAAACGTAGAGTAGCAGTGGAGGGTAAATGGTGGGTAGCAACTCTTGACAGTCTAAACTATGTCGTTGTTACCATGCATGCCGTTCAAGGGTACGGTTTCTCTGGGAGGCAATAGTCCCATTAGTTTACTCCCCTTCCTCATCTTGAAGGCTCTGGACAATCGCAAGGATTAATATATTATTTTTTACCTTAGAAAGAGTTGATTTCGGAGCAAGCTCTGGCTGGATTAGATGGATTGCATGCGGTAGCCTTGCAGATGAGTGCATGAACTGTGTGTATGTCTAATGGGAAGGAGGGCAATGGGCAGGAATTAAGCTTTTTCTTCTTCCATGGCTACTGGTCATGTAGTTTGTGTGTTATTGTGGGGTAATTGCATGAATAATCTGCAGCGGGATTTTAGATTTATGCTTCTATAGAGAAGTTGATTCTTATTTATTTATTTACTGCTATGGAGTTGTGGCATTTACGATAAAATCTATTTATGTTTGCAGCTATACCAAATGGGTTTGGTACCAGCCCTCTTACTCCTTCAGCTAGAATATCTGCACTCAACATTGTGGGAGATCTCTTACGGAAAGTAGGGGTGAGTGCCTTCTACAGAAGAAACACTAGTTCTGTTCTGGTGTTGCTGAGCTTTCATTTTTGTACGTGAATAAAAAGAGGGGTTGGCCCGTGCTCAGCACGTCCTGTAATTTCCAAGGTGTCTCTTCCAAATGATGCACATTTCGTATATGAAAGTGCTTTTTTATTATTATTAATTTACGTTGATTTGTAAAGCACGTTACTGAGATTCTGATGCCACCTTTGGGTGATGAAATTCACAGATTGAGCAAAAAACACTTGAGGGGGCTTGATATATTGGGTGAGGCACTGTCAGCCCCTTGGCTGTGTTTAAAATGAGGTTTGCAACTTTCTCTGAGACCAAGACTCGGAACCGAATTTCAGACTTTTGAGTGCCCACTGCACAACTGTTCTATCTCTCATGGCAAGTGGAATGAGATTGCTCAGTCAGTGCTGTCTCTTCTTGTGCCTGAGGTGATCTGCACCAGTTGTTTAAAATGAATAAACGTAGAGTCCTTTGATTAGAAAGTGGAAAAAATAAACTGGGAGAAAGGCAAATGTTCCCTTGTGTAGTGGGTGGGGAAGTGAAAAGTGTGAGCCTTTAAAGGGATTACAAGCAGGGAAGAAGTGGTTTAAACATCTGTTACAGTGTTGCTTAAGATGCCAGGCTTTCCAGTTCAATGAAGACATGACTTTTTTGCTTGGAGTCACGAGAAGCTTGTTTCTGTGCCTCAGTGGATGGTGTTAGTGTTTTGAGAGGAAGCATGGATAGCCTTTGTGTCTAGCCTCTGGTGCTGACTTTCTTCCGTATCTTGTGGTTTACGCTGAGAACAGCAATAGCTGCAGCGAGGGCAGTTGTTTTGGCAAAGTTTGAAACTAAAAACTACGTCGTTGCTTGCATTTGGAACTGTCAAGTGCATAGCTGGTTTGAAAGGGCAGCGGGAGGACTCGGGGTTACAGAGTGGCATGTTTAAAATGGGATCACTGTGAGTAAGAGTCTGTGGGGGATTTAGGGAGCTTAATCACAATCCCATGTGATTACTCTGCAAGGGCAGGAAATGCCAAATAAGCATGCTTGCTTCCCAGCCTACTCCTAGACTCACAGTCTACCAGTGATACAAAGTTACAATTTACCCATTTGTTAGTAATAATTGTAGGATGTTCAGCTGCTAATTGTAGGTTTGGCTACTTGGAGCGTGCCTCCGCCGATGCTCTGGATTCCCTCTTTCTGAGAAGTCCCCCTTGCCTTTCTTACTTGCAGCTGAGACAGGGAGTCACTTGGCAGAGATCACACTTGCTATTTCCAGCTGAAAGATGCTTTGAGAACAAACAAAAACAGTATATATAGTCACTAAGGAAGCTTAAATGGGCTGCTAGAGCAAGGTTTTGTAGAGTTGGCTTATTTCTAATAGCGTTTGAGTACCTTATTAGTGGAAATTTTTCTACATGAAAGAGTACCGAGTCCTATGCGCTATCAATGACATGAGCTTTTTATCTTCTGTATGTGTGTCTGCAAGTGTGTGAATGCCCACGCACACAGCTTAGATGTAACAAATAGCTGTAACGATTTTCTGTTGGAGCAGACAGGTCTTCATCAAGTTCAGTCTCAGTTTGTGTGCTAGGTAGCAGAAAGGGCAGGTGATGTAATAAACTGAAGAGGAAATTTAGGAGTGTGTTGCTGTGTGGAAAACATCTCCTTCTTGCCAGCAGTCAGTAGATGACTGACAGCAGAGAGACTCTTACTTTGCATAGGGAGAAAAGATCTCTCGAGATTTTCTTGACAGTAGTAGAGGTGAGTTGCAGTTCTGCTTGGACCCTGAATGGGCTTAGCTGCTATCTCTTTTCCTCCTTCTGATGCTGTACCTCTTATTCTGAACCATGTCAGGAGGGCTTGCAAAACTGGCTATGTGTTGCAGACTGAGATTAAGAAAGAAGTGGCAGCAGACATTGTCCTGGAGAAGAGTTCAAGTTTCCACATACAAGGTCCTTTCAGAAACTTAAGGAATCTGCTTTTGGCTTTCTCTAAATCCTTTGATTAGCTTATGCCAGCCTTATTCCAGCTTCTGAGGCAAAAGACTTCCCCCCGACACACACTTCCCTACAATAGCAATGCTTTACCTGTTCTGGAAGAAGGCAGCTGGCAATGCTATGCCCTCCAGTCCTGAGTCATCCCCCAGTAAATAGGTCTGGACCTGCTTCTACTCTTTTTGTTTGGGAAAAGTTCAGACAAGAGTGAAGTCTTGCCAGTTTCACCGTTGAGTACCATCTGTGATGAGAGCGCGCAAGAGACTTTTCAGCTGCCATGTCTGAAAACTGAGCTATTGCAGACACAGGAGTGCTGAAATATGCTGTCTGCAACCTCAAGAAGATAGCACGTTTGTCCAAGTCTGATCTCCAAATGGCTGGACTTCAGTAGCTTCTGCTAAGATTTGGCTTCCTCTTTTTAAATGCTTAAATGAGAACTGGTATGTTCTAAAATCGTAGCCCTAATGGAAGTGAGTTGTGCCTGGCAGTCTGCATCAGCATCTCATTGTATGGGTTTCCTTTGTAGCTGAATGACACAGAAAGTTTTGTTCCCGTTTAGTTTAGATTTCGCTAAGCTGTATCACGCTGGGGTCCTGGTCCTGGTGATCTGTGGTCGTGTTGAGGTCTGAACTTGAGCAGGAAAAACTCCTTCTAATAAGGTTACTTTTTTGATTTTATTTATTTATTTCTTCTTTCCCACAGGCCTTAGAATCCAAATTAGCTGCTTGCAGAAATTTTGCAAAGGACCAGGCATCACGGAAGTCCTACATTTCAGGGAATGTTAACAGCAGCATGATGAACAGCAATGGCACAAAGTACCCTCATTCAGGGCATATGTCTTTCTTTGACAAAGGGTAAGTTGGGATGTGTTTTTGCTGTAAAGGGGGAGTGTGTTTTGGAATGCTGAAGGAGAAGCTTTTCTTGTCTTGTTTTTAGCTTACCACAGCTTTCGTCCAATCAGACTAGTAATTTGGAGAGCCAAAGTCCTGGGAGGGTGGGCAAGCAAGACTGCAGTGCTGAATTCTACAAAGTAGAAGCTTGTGACTCTGTCTCTTTGCTGTAGGATGTCAATACCTTTGCTATACCTCTGCTGCCTAATCACTTGGGCTCTGCATCTCAGGTAATACCAAAACCCAGACAGCAAACCTGCTTATGAGGTGAATGTGCCCTTCATCGCTATTTACTTGAGATCCTTCTGGAGTTGCTATAGTTACTGGTGTGCGAGGAAGTGCATTAACTACAAATCTGGAGATTGCCTCAGTAAGAACAGCTTAGCGCAGGCAACAAATGCTTACTTGGAGGGCGGTGCCGTGTTTGCTTTACTTCCCCCTCTGTTAGGGGAGAAGAAAATGGTATTAACTGCTAGTTCTAGCTGATCTAGGGGACAGCTGTCCTCACACTGGCTGAGCTGTGCGTCAGCCCTGAAACCAGAAACTCCTTTCACAGGAAAAAAGTGACATGTGTTTCTCACATGCTTTGCCCATACTCAAGAGCTTCCTCCCTGATACTGAGAAGCAAACAGTTGTGGTTCAACGGGAGAGTTTTCCCACAGTTCTTCGTAGTGCTGGACCCTGTGGTTGTATGGAAGACTGGAGGGAGCAGCCCTGAGGAGTGCTGAGAAAAGTACACCTCTCTTCCCGTGTTTAATACAGTGGTGTTGAGATCCATGCTTGGTGTCACTGAGCAAAGCATGCTCCATACTCCTTGCACTGTGATAATCTTCCATGGTAAACCTCAAGCCAGTGCAATTTGATGTTAATATTCAGCACATCCTCAATGCAAATTTATTTTAGGGTAATAAGTGAACTCATGCCATCCTGAAGAGTACATTTAGAAAATAGACATCCTGAGCTTCCTGGAGTCATTCTTTTGCGAATGCTGAATCACTTTGCTATGTGGGTAGCAGGGCAGGTCACATCTTAGAAACCAGCATTCAGAGTTTTTAGAGCTTTAGAACACTATTCTTTGTTTTTTTGGAAGGGAAGAGTTGGGGAAGTTAGCAAAATCAGTGTCATGTGAAATTTGGACTGCCTTTTGGTTTGTCTGTGTGCTGTGAAGCTGTTTGGGGCTGCACATCACCACAGCAATGCACGCTTTTTGCAGTATGCAGGCTAGATTTCAGCTGCAAGCTGTTAGGGTAGTTGCTAGGGAGTGATTATAGCTGTTCTTAGGATGCAGCATTGCTATTTTGAGTTGTGGTGTGACAAATAAGCTGATTGCTCTGTGGGGTGGGGGTCACTTTTAATTATTCAGATTGTCATCACACTTGTTAGCTGGGCTAGCTGCCTGGAATTAGGAGCTGGTTGTAGCTGAGGAAGGCTTAAAAACCCAGCCTACTGATACATAAATTTTAGAGCAAACTTGGAGAATATTAGCAGGCTAGAAAGTGAGTGGAGATGACTGATGCACTTGCCTGCAAGATGTTAGGGGTGTCTGCACAGCCCTGCTGTCCTATCCCTCTCCTTTGCACCCACATATCCTGCTAACCTTGGGGTCAGTGGCCCGTGTCCTACTGTTACATCCGCTCCCACCGTGCGTTCCTGCCTCTTTCAAGATCTGTGCACACTGCGAGGTGGGTGAATGCAGTCTCTGCTGCATACATGTCTCCACGGTTGCTATGTAAAAACCTGTATAATTTTGTCTACACATGAAAGCTGAAAAGAGCTATTACATAAATGAGGTCAGCCCCATTGTGCCTACCCAGTGCAGCAGCCGACTGGCTTCTAGCCATGCTGGCACGCGTCACTGGCGAGCATCAGATCCAGAGCTCGCTGCAGTGGCTAGGCTCAAGGGGCTGAGTTGAGGCATGCCCTTTCTTCTCCCCTCTTCTCCTCCTTTCTCTCCAGCCCCTGTACTCTTCTCCCTGCCCCCAGTTGTCGCTGGAGCCTGAAACAGCCACGTGGGCTCGTAGACCCGATCCAATCTGCAGCTGCTGCCTTATGAACAGCCAGTTGTTAGGTGGTGGGATTGTGACAGAGGTAACTCAGCCACGTCATTACAGTTCCATTTATTTTCCTTCCTTTGCCATTTTGTTGGTTAAAATGTTTGACGAGTCTCCATCTCTCATCAAACACCTGCTCTTTGCTTGCTGAGAGGAGCGGAGCAGGCATCTGAAGAGCATGATAGACTGGAGCTGGCATAGCTGTAGCAGTGGTAGGAGCAGTTACCTGAGCAGCATTTAGGGGAGGTTTGGAGGACAGCTGGGCTTGCACGTGAGCTTTGCTGGAGAATCAGAAGAGTCAAGGTATTTTTTTGTTTAGTTCTGTAAAGTCTGATATAAGATTAGTTTCCTGCAGACTTGTTCCTTTACAAGCATCACGTTTCTGTCCAGATGCCAGGGCCTAGCAGAACAGCACCTGAGGATGTTCTGAGATAGGTGCTCATTTCTTGCTGTTGTAATTACTCTTACGTGGTTATTACCTTTGATCCAGCTGGGGAACAAAATGGCTCTGACCTTGATGGGCTCTGCAGAGGCCTGGTGCTTGAATAGCTGGGCTGAGACAGTATGTGAACTGAGACCTGGCGTTTGTTCCTTGGGACATTACTCCTTTTTTACTTTTCCTCTGCTCCCCTTCCTGCTTTCTTGAATATCAAAGTCATTGCTGTAGTTGATATTTACTCTTAGCCAAACAAATTCAAAAAATAACCTATATTCCAAAACAAACTAGAGTTTAAATGTGAGAAGTGCCTCTGCTTGCTCACTTCAAGCAGCCCTGTGAAACATGTAGGTGCCTATACATGGTGCATGCTGTTGTCCACAACTATGATTGTGATACGTCAGACTAAAATCGGGGTGTTCTTGCCATTCCCTAGTCCACTTAAAAATATATATATATATATCCCTGGAAAAGAGGGGACCCTGTTTCACTTTGGGTATCTCAGGTACAGGTGAGTAATTCCATGTCCTGTAATGTACTTTGCAAAACCCTGGGCTTTGAATTCAGGTCATGCGCTCTTAGCAGTGAAGTGTGTTGGGAGAGTTGGCTGTCTCTGAAACAGGACCCCTAGCTTGCCTGTGCCGAGCAGAGTCTCAGTGTGCAGAGGTCTAAGAGGAAAGGCCTGATGAGATTTAATACTGTTGCTTTTTCCCCTGTTTCTTGCATACAGGCTTGCACCCAAGAATGTCTTTATTGTGTACATAAACTGTTTCAATTTTTCTCCACTAGGCGTGAAAAGGTCATATTCCCCACCTTGGTCATGGGTAAATGAATTCATTTGCAATGATAAGCTGCATGCATTTTAACTCTGGTGCTTGGAGGTGCAGACTTGGTGGTTATGCTAACTGCATGAGGTAGTTCTCCTAGCATTACAAACTAATAGGCAATGATAAAGCCTGAGGCTACAATCTCTCTTTTCTTCCTTACTTCAGATAAATTTCTCTGGTCTTCTGACCAGTTGCAACTGTAAGACTGAGTGCTGCTTGCTTTCTTGACCTAATTCTACTGCAAATAGATATATTTCTGACCAAATCAGGTGCAGCAGAGATACAATTAAATTAACTGCAGTAATACTTCATCCTGTAAAAGTTAGCTTGCCCTTCAGTGGTGTTTTGCCTTCAATGGTCTTTTAAGTGCTTTTTTCCATATCGGCTCACTGGTGCTCTGTAGCCGTGGCTCTGAGTAATCTGAAAGCAAACAAAGGCATAGACGTAAACTGAATCGATCGAGGTTATAAGCGGGGGGAAGGATAGATAGTCTGAAGTGTCGGCAGCAGCGTTTCTGCTCAGGATTGCAGTCCCTGCCTGGTGCAGCTGTGCCAGCTGGAAAGACCCAGAGAAAACAACTGTGCCAGCAAAGCTGTTCAGGTACCAGGACAGCCCACCCTGCAGGAGAGGGGGTCCTACCACGCACAGGCTCAGTGCAGCAAAGCCTATAATACTTAAGGGGTGGGTTCATCTCCCTTAGTTGCCTGTTGAGGGAACACAGAGGGTTCCCCTAATGTCAACAGGTGCAGCTCCCTACCAGCTTAAAACTGACCCATGCTTGAACTGCCACAGCCTTATCCCTGTCGTCTTCCTCATGTCTTTAGGCTGGGCATTCCTGTACCTCCTTGTGCTGTTACTGCCGCTTGGGAAACTAAGTGGCCTATTTTAAGGGTCTGATCTGCCAGAAAACTCGCTTTTCCCATTGCTTTCTGGCTGAGCTAGTCTCCATGTGTGCTTTCGCCACATCCATTTATTCCTTAGCCTGGCTTGTTCAGCCACAGAAAGGATCTTCTGAGGTTTTGCTCAATATTTGGAATTCAGGAAGCCTCAGAGTTAAGGCGTTAAATACAGAATGCTACTTGAAATACAGATTAATGAGTGAAAATGTATCTTTAACAAGCCGCAGGACTCAAATCTGAGCCAATGACGTTTGCAGAGAACTGGTAAAATACAAATGGGTCAGAGAGCAGTTAGAAATTGGCATAAAATTCATACCCCTGTAGGAAGGGGCAGTAAGAAACGCCTGTCAGAAACCTCTGCAGGAGACGTTTCCAGCAGAGACTGATGATTTTAGCTCAGCTGGAAGCACCAGAAAGAGTCAGTTTTCTCGGGAAGCCCTGAGCCAGGGCACAGCGTGGGGCTCCTGCGGAGCATGGCAGGTCGGGCCTGGACTGATCAGGGGAAGAGCTAAAAGCAGGAAGCAAACGAGCTTGCTTGGATTGCTCATTTGAGGGCAGATCTCCAGGCTGTCAGGCAACGTCAGCTCCCTGTGAGCAGCTGCCCCTCGTGTGTGCCAGACCTGTGCAGAGTAGTTAAAGGCTGGAGTGATGTGTGTGCTCGTCACGGCCCTGTCTGGAGACTGGGGACACTACTGCTCTCGAGGTGCAGTAGGAAAGTTTGGCTTTAGAGACCAAATTCACAGACTTATTTCTAGCTTTCTCCTCAGAGGTTGGGCAGGAAGACTCCAGCATCCTTTATTTTTAAAAAATAAAATTGCTCTGTTGTTTTTATTTTCCTTTAGCTTTATTTTTAACTGAAATATTGCTAACTTTTTTTTGGTGTGCATTTTCATGTTAACAGCATAAACCTGTCGCTGGATAAGATCTCAGTGAGCTCAGCCAAAATTCTAGCTTTCTGCATTAACCACCCCCCTCAGCCCCCACTCCATTTGTTGCTACTATTTGAAGCCTTTTTCTGTACCCCACTTACTGAACTGGTTTTCTGCAAATCAAAGCAGCAGCTTTATCTTTATTTCTGTGCTGAGGACAAGCTTGGGCGAGTAGGATGCTATGAACAATGCAAGTAACTGATTCTGGGAACTAATCTTGGGAAAAGCTACCACAATGAGCACTCTGTGCTGTCTTGACACAGGTTTTTTAAATAGCAAATGATGGAGAAACCTCAAAAGTCTTCTAAACAAAACTTGTGTCTTTTCTATCTTGAGCAGAAAGCCTGGTTGTGTGTCCCTTGTGCATCTTAGTGCTGTGGGTGCTCCCCACCTTGCACAGTGGTTGGTGCCTCGTCACGTGACTGACGTCTTCATTGTGTGTTGCTTTTCCTGGTCGCTTTGCCAGTGAATCAGTGTTGCACTTGTTAACCAACTCTACCAAAAACGGGAGCTTTTCTTTAAAGATATGTCTGTGCCTGGGTTCCTCTAGAGCAATCAGTGGACTCAGCCTGTGGTTCAGTTTTGCACACTGAGACCAGGCACAAAGAACATCAAAAGGCAAAGTAGTAGGCTCCCTGGCTCCCTGGGTAGGTGTGAAGAGCATGGAAAGGCTGTTGCAGATATCAGTAAATGTACTTACCAGACCATGTGGGCCCAACACTTGTGCTGTGCCTCCAGGGATACCGTGGCCAGCGTGCAGACAAGCCTGGAGTCGGGCTGCTGCTGCGGTGCTGGAGGGGATCCATCGGTGGGATGTTTGCCTGAGGCCCAGGAAGGCTGTGTGCGAAGGCAGGTATGTTCCTGCTCCTCACTGCGTGAATAGCCACTGGCATGCAGTATTAGAGGCAGTGACTTGGGCAGCCTGAAGTGCCTGGAGAGATTTGGACAGGGCTAGGGCAGAGACACGTTGCCCCTTCCCTAGGGAAGCTGGCGAGCGGGAGATGCCGTGTAGTGCCTGGCTTTACAGCATTCATCCCCTTGATAACCCTGGCTCCGAGATGGGGCTTGTTCTCCCTGCTTGTCTCTGGCTTCGTTGTACATGCTGGATTATTTGTGACGCTGGTGATTTAGGCGGAGCCCTGTCACATCAGTGCGTCGTTGGTGCGGAGTGCCTGATTGTTTCATGGCTTCTGGCCTTGTTCTCACACCTCTGGGAGGTTGAAAAGATCACCCAAGACTCACACACCTGAGCTGTTGAACACAACTCTCAGTAAGAGGTGAGGAGTGCTGGATTTGCACTGCTTTCTTTAGAGGGGGAAGCTGCCATGTATTAGGGTGGCGATGGCTGCAGAGATGAATTTTTCCCGTAGTAGGCACTTGGGAGCTAGAAACCCCATTCGGGAGTGATCAGTGCCCCAGAAGTAGCAATATTTGAGCAGTTTGTGCTGCTTGAGTTGGGCTATTTCTTCATCTGCCTCTCTGCAGGGTGTGGGGGGAGGCAGGGAGCTGCAGCTACTCCCTCGTGGTCATGGGAGTACAGAGTGACTCCAGGGCCCCGTTGCGCAGGGAAGGAGGTAATCCCTGCCACCGAGTCCTCCTGGTTCTTCATGTGCAGGTTGCTGTAATCAGTAGGGCAGCCTGGCTGGCAAACGTGCTCCACCAAAATCACAGCTCAGGGGTGGCACGTCCACGTGTGGCACAGGAGGGAGAGCCGCTGACTTCCTCCCAGTTGTGCTGCGAAACCTGGGCCGAGGCGGGAGGAAGGGGTCTACTAGCCCACGTGCTTTGGATGCAAGCTGCTCCTGGTGCGCTGCCGCGTGCTAATGCTGCACAGCGCATTAAATAAGTCCTGTCAGAAAGGCAGAAATGCTGCAGTATTGAAATGTCTGGTGGCAGGGAATGCAGGTGGCTTTGAGCAAAGGGCAAAGCCTTTGTGCAAAGGCTTTGTGCAAACGTGCCGAGCTGCACTAACCACCTTGGGGTCGTAGCTCCTTCTGTATGTGTCTGCCCTGCCCGGCTTTGTATAATGCTGCTGTTGATCGCTGGGTTGCAAAGGCTCATTCATCATTTCAATCTGTGCGCAAGACGTGACAGTGTATGGAGTAATGGCGCTTGCTCTGGATTTGAAGTTAATCTCTCCAGCCTGTTGTTCCCGTGCTGATCTTGCCTCCGGCTGTGGGAATCTGAGTTCCTGGGAAGCAGTAAAGGCAAGAGATCCTCAGCTGGAGGTGTATGTTAGTTCAGCTGAACTCACGAGCAGCAAATCTGGCAGGCCCGTTCAGAGCCCTGGGGTTGTGCAGGCAGAGAGGCTGGGCGCCATCCAATGGTGACAGTGGCTGCAAGTCATGACGAGTGGCTCTTCATTTGGGGCATCTCTAGAGCATGACTCTGTTGCCATGCTACTCATCAGACACGAGCAGGGTATCTCTCCAGGACTTGCAGTCTACTTATGCTGAACATCAGTTTTCTCTGACTCTTTTAACAGAGAGCAAACTACTACATTTTAAATCCCGTTTTGTTTTGTTTTGTTTTTTTACTGTCCTCCTCAGCAGAGTTGCTTTCTAGCTGATAATCAATTTGCAGAGTCATGTCACAATCAGGTTGGCTTCACGCCCCTGCAAAGTAGAATAGCGAAGTACATCTTCCCCTAAGTCGCTCCTCAAATGGCTTTTTGTTTCCTGCTGCTGTGAAGGTACTTGCATTTTTAAATATATCAAAGTAACATGCAAATGTGAAATTTAAAGCTTTAAGGGGAGGAGATGGAAAAAGTGGGTTCTCATTGCTCTGACTGCGGTGCTGGGATGTGCAGCAGGCTTTGCTAATATGGAAATGTGGATGTTTAAACAACAAGATGAGGAAAGAAAGCAGCACACCTCCGTAAGACAGCAAGCTGAGTGTTTCCATGGGAATTTGTCCTTGCTAGTGAGTGTTCCTATTATAGCTCTCATCTGCTCTTCTGGAAGGGTTTTTGTAATAGCCCAGCACAACAGCGTTGTTCTGGGCTTTGTTGGCAGGATTTATACTTAACTGACCCAGTGGGTATGGCGTCCCCGTTGCAAAAGCAGTGAACATGAGACGTGCATGAGATATGTGCTGTGCAAAAGAGAGTGCAAAAAGCAGTTGGTCTCCGTCCTGGGGATGCTGCTGTGAGCCTGTGCGCAGAGCCCTGGGCGCAGAGCACGTGTGAGATCCTGGCACAGTCCCTTTGGCAGTGACGGCAATGAGTGGGTCATGCTTCTCCAGACTCCTACTTCAGGTACAGCCTGAGCAGCCAACTCCCTGGTTGGCAAATTTTGACTTTTTCTTGGTTTGTAAACGCTTCCAATTTCTACTAGAAGTGCCAGAGCCGTCCAGGCTTCACTGTCCATTGCTTTTCTTTGTCAGCCCTCACTGAGGGCTGGAGACCACAGGTCACTGATCTAAGCAGCAAAGATGGTCTCTTAAAAAGCTTCTCTTTCCTAGATGTAGTTCTGCCGAGAGAGATATGAACGGCATCCTCTGGGATGTTGGTGGTTTGGAGAAAGCTGATGAAGTGTTGCAGAGGTGCTTCTTGTGACTAGTTGCAGCGCGAGACAGGGACCCTGTCCCACCTTGCAGGGATGTCCCTCCCCCAATACTCTCAGAGTTATAACTTTGATAACATGAGCAAGGTGCTAGTTCTGTGGCAATAGATGGGATGGACCTGTCCTGTTACAGGGGAATACTTGCCTCTTGTTGCCAGGGCTGTGGTGATGATCATCAGATGGTGTACGTTAAGCCTAATTGCAGGAGATCTGGCAAAGCCGTAACAAAGCAGAGACTGAAAAGCTGTCAGCCCTACGTACTCATTTAACCCACCAGGAAGCCAGGTTCTCTATGCCACCGCCTTTGACAACAGCTTTGGGAAGAGCAGTAGCCTAGAAACCAATGGTTCTTGGTTGTGTGGTGTTCAGGGGTTTGAAGATGATTAGCTGGGAAGTGCGTATGGTGAGGTCTGGAGGGACCTGGAGTCCTCACTGCACCCCAGCTATGTGTAGCATGGAGGCAAAACCTGCTGTGCTTTGTTTAACCTGTGCCTGCCTGCTCTAGCAGACCCCATTCTCCATTGCATAGTGTGGTGTAGCTGTGTGTGCGTGTGTGTGCGTATGTGTACATATTCCCATCCCCTCTGCTGGGAGGAAGCTGAGTAGAGCCACATGTGAGTTGACTGCCAGCTCTGCTGCACAGAGCCCTGTGTGACTGTGCCCTGCAGCTCAGTGCTGCCCACTCGGCACTCGGGGGCTGCATGCAGTTCAGGCAGATATGTGGAAACAGCAACTTTGTGGCGACCAGTCAACTTTTAAGAAGGAGGAGGAGCTAAATGTGGGGACAAAGCCCACAGAGCCGCTATGCCTAGTGCCTTCAGCTGCACAGACCTGATAGCATAGCCCCAGAAGTCTCAGAGCATGCACAGCAGCTCCTGGACCTCCTTGGCTGGTCACCTTGGCCAGCAAGTGCCTGTCTTGGCAAAGCTTCAGGCACTCAGCTGTGGAGGTGTGTGTGCGCGTGTGTGTGTGTGTGTGCGTGTCCCTAGCTGTCAATAAATGCTGATTCTCACAGCTGGAGGTGGGCAGCCCAGTCTTATATGAGCCCTGTTCCAGCACACACTGAGCAGCTGCTGTATAGTCAGCTCTCCTCTGTCCCTGCTGAAGTGCACAGCAGTGTCTGGCTCCCACATGCATCTGAGGCTTGCTGCCTTTGAGCCCAGGCTGGGGACAGATGCTTTTAGGATGCCCAAAAAGGGAGATGTGCCCTATCTTCCAGCTCCTGGTGGGGGGGAGAGATGAACAATAGAAATGAGCAAATAGCTCCCTCCTGGAGGTGCTCATCACTTACTGACTTCTCTCTTGTTCCTTCTCAGGGCAGTAAACGGCTTTGATCAAGGTCCCCCTGGACTGGGATCCTCCAGACCATCATCAGCTCCTGGCATGCTCCCGCTGAGTGTATGAGCCACCAGGAGGTCGTATTTGGACTTGCAAATGCTTTTCTCAAACCACCAAGAGAAGAACTGCTTCTGATTCCTCCCCATTCCTGCCCCAGCCAGAACACAGCCTGCGCTATGGCGCACAGCAGTCCCCTGGCCGGCCGCTGCTGGAGGAGGCCCTGCGCCCACAGCCCTTCATGCCATGTTAATACAACTTAATTTTTCTCCTATTGCTGTAGCAGATGTTCTCTGCCTTGGCCACACGCTATGTGTTGCACAAGCGGAGACATGTAGCGCTCTGTTTCACAGGATGCAGGAGTCTTGCTAGCCAAATCTTGGTCAGGCAGCCCTTGACCCAGCACTTCAGCTCTTTACTAATTTAGGTTTAGCATGACACAAATGTTAGCCGGTTCCTCTAAAACAAAAACCTTCCCTCTCCCCCTGCCTAGCTGCTCCAGCATCCTGGCACTTAAGACATGCAGCTGCTGCCTGTGCAGTATAGCTCAAACTTCTTGAAATCGGTGCTTGGTAAGGCTTTGCGATGACAGGTTACTTGGACACTTGCACCTGGGAATTAGGCCTAGGTACATGACTAAGTTACTACAGTTGAATACATTACTGCCTGGCAGGTGAGCAGCTGTTGCTGATGTTGCCCCCAGGTGCTGTAGCTGAGTGCAGCGGGCTGCGCTGCCTCTTGCCTTGGCCAGATTGTGTCAGGCCTGCTCCTGCAGCCCCTTCTCAGCTGGCAGAGGTGGCTGGGCACCGCCGTGCTGGGCTCTCCTGGTGCCAGGCACGAGCAAGGGCTCAGGGGTTATTGCCAGCACAGCCAGGGCATGTAGATAACCAGATGCTGGTTAGCAGCACATCGTAAATGATGAGCACATGTTCAGCAGAGGCGAGTTTTACAACGTAAAATGGTCTTAGCATAAATTAACAGGGGTGAGCTTTGCTAAAGCATGTTCATGCTGGCTGGGGAGGCCTGGCTGTGCATGCTCCTAAGACAGAGCCGCTGCTGGGCAGTAATGTTAGCTGCTGTAGCAAGCTCATGTTTCCCATGTGTCTATACCATACTTTTCCCAGCCCAAATTTAACCTGCCTGTATCACTAAAATGTTCCTACAGCTCTAAAGCAGCGACTCCTTGAGAGCTTTAGAAAGCCACAAATCAAATTGGCTACACAGCCACTGACATACATACCCCACCTCCCAGAACTGGTTTTAAGCATCCAAACCACGCTCAGCTCTATGTACTATATAACTGGATTTTACAGGGTCACCTATGGGCTTCTGGTGCAGTTTAGGGCGACTGTGTACCTTGTGGGTCTTTCAAGCAACATATTTGTGCGATCACTGTCTTTATGTGCCTCAAAGTTGGTGGATTTTTAAAATGAACCAGCAAACCCAGCTGTGGTTTGGTCTGTGAGTCAAACAAACAATACAAAAAAAAAAAGCCCCTTCCTTCTGTTCAGTCACACTCATTTGGCTCTGTGGCGCTAAGTTGGTCTATTTACAACTGCTGAGAAAAAAAATAAAAAAAATAAAACCCCATTTACCCCAGCAGAAGGGAGGTGGGGAGTCACCACTTACTGTTAGGATTTTTTTTTTTTTTAAATGATGTTCCTCATTTCCTGTGCATCCTTTGCTGCATTTGACTGTTTACATTTGTTTTATTGTACATAGGTTTGTAAACATAATATCGTTGCCTAAGATCTTTGTACATAACTTGGGCTTTGTAGCTTTATTTATTCAAAATCTATATGGCATGTTTCAGTAGGACAGTGTACCATACCACAGTGGTGACACAAATCATGTGGTTTAAAAAACTCCAAGAGCGTAATCTTCCAAAAATAAAGTTCTTTTAATGTCGAATCGGTGGATTTTGCAGAAAAGGTGCCAGCAGCTGTGTTTCATCATGTAGCTGCAGCAAGTCGAGGGCTGGGTTGGCCCAGGGGAATGGGTGCCTGAGGAAGCTGCTGCTCCTGTCTGTCTTTGGCGTGGTCATAATTCCCCCATGGCTCTGAAACCACCGTGCCTGTGAACACCTTTCCTCTGTTTTAGCCTTTGCGGTTCATGTTGTGGGATCCTGGCTCCTGGGGCTGAGTCCTGGGGTTTGAGACCGATCTGGCAGAGAGCTTGGGCAAATGTTTGTGGCGTGTTTTGCCTGCTGGGGGTGGCTGAGAGGAGCTGCCTTTTCAGAACAGCACGATTGCGCAGTTGCTCATTTGCCTGGGTGAGATGGTCCCCTCTACCTCCCTCACCATCGCCCTCTAGGGCCCACACCTCACTCCCGGGTCGGGTACAGGGTCATGGGAACGATGGGGGCGTTTGCAGGTACTAGTCAACACTGCCCCCCGCCCCCGCACAGCCTGCACCTTTGCTGGCTTGCAGGGTGCAGGGGGACTTGCCGTTCTGGGGCTGCCTGACCCTTCTGGGTTTGTGCCAAAGGCTCCTTTCCTGACAGCAGAGGAGACATGATCCCCTTTGGAAAAGTCCACCTGTCCTGTGCTGCACCCAGCTCCCACAGCCAACAATCACTGCTGCAGCATCACCACGCTACAGGATCCTGCTGCTCAGCAGGCTGGTCTGGATGCTCCTCCTTCCCCCTCTAATACAGGCAACAGTGCTTCAGCCCCCCCGAACCAACCTCACAGAGGGCCACCACACAGGGCTTGGTTACCCCAGAGGAGAGCTCTCAGCTCAGTGATGCCAAAGAGGTGTGAGGGGTGCTGGGGCTCCCACTGCACCCAATTTAGCCATCAGGGGAGCAACTGACCCTGCACAGCTGAACCCAGCTGCACTCACCCTGCCTCTCATCTGAGCCAGGCTGGAGCAGCAGGCTTAGGCTCTCACTCCCAGCTTGAACAGAGGCCCGGGTCCCACCCATCCCCCAAAAGGAGTCATGCACAGCACTTAGGGCCAGCTCCAAATTTTGGGGTAACCATACCCACCTACAGTCTTCTGGGGAAGGCAGGGTCACCCTGAGAGCTTCACTCAGCAGAGACCAGGCCACAACAGTGCTGGCTGTAAAAGGTAGCTCCAGCCGAGCCTCAGACTTAACCTGATGCTATCAGTAACCAGGGCTGTAGCTCTACTTCACAACTGATAGAAGTGAACAGATAAAGTTTCTATTCCAGGTGTCTGCTGTATCTGCTCAAAAAAAAAGACAACTGCTTGTTAAAGGCAGAAACGGAGGCCAAAGAAGGGGGCTGTGCATGTACAACAGTACAGAATTTCAGCATTTGGTTTCCGAGCTCCCTTCAATGGCAACATGTATGTGGAGCACAAAGTTGGGCAAAGGCTTAGCGCCATGGTCAGGCCACTTACGCTGTATGTAGGTCAAAAGAAAAGCAAAAAAATCTCAAACAAAAATACAACCAAAACAAACCAGTAAGAAGGGAAAAGGCAGCTTCCAGTCATATTGTTTATTGAGTTCTATGCCAGCCTCAGGAGATAGCTCTTCCTGTAAGTAAACAGAGCAGGCGGCCACATCTATAATGAATAAATTTATTGTCTTACAAAAATCATTGTCTAGAAATATGGGTATACAAGAAAACAAGATATTTGCAGTCAGATGCCTGGTGGTCAACAGCCAGTTTGATTAAAAATATCCAAACACACACAACAAAACCTTTGCGACAGATGTTAAAGCTTTTAACCAAAAAAGGAAATCCGTGTTTTTTGAGCATGTGGCAGAGGAAGGAAGTTTCCTAGTTAACACTGATTCATTGTCACTAATATCAATAATACCACTTGGACTAGAGAGGTACATGATATGAAGCACAGTCAAAATTAATACATTAAATCATTGTTATATAGGCAAATTATATATGTAACATTGTCTTAGTACTGTAGTGTCTAAGGCACTTTCTGTAATGTCAGTTTTTCAGCTATTTAAACAAAAAGAATGCTAACTACTTGCTTTAATACTGTTCAAAATAAAAAAAAAACCAACAAAAAAACAAAAAAGGATTCACATCCACTGGCATGTTAACTCGTAGGCAGGCAACATCCATCTCTGAACCCCTGTAAACCACACAGACTCCAAACAAGCCACACACACTGTACAGTACAGATGGCCCTGCTGCTCTCGGCTCACTGCTGGCCAGTGGACCAGCTCTGTTAGTAACACTAGGCTGGCTAAGGTATCACGTAAGCCTTATGTCACGGTGCAGCTACTTGGCTCCATGTCCTGAAGACTACTCAGCCATAAATTAATAAATTAATTTTGCCTGTGTTGCATGTTTATTTTCCACTGGTGTTCACATTATACTAGCCTTAATATATATATACACAGATCTGTGGGGTGTGGTAATAGCAGGTCTCTACAAATGCAAAAGTACTGTACAGATTAAGAACGGTGATGCTATTTCAATTTGCCTGTACTGCATGAACACTAACAGATGAAGCAGGTGCTGAGAACACTTCAAAATGATATTTCAGGTTAAAAATGGACACTTACTCATTCATCCCTACATTTTCCTCCTAGCACTTCCCAAGGCCTTTTCACAGTTCACTCGCTGATTGTGTGCTGATCACAACAATTAGGAGAAAAGAAAGATACAGGTGCAGTTTGGTCTTCAATGATCCAATAGACTCAATACAGCCAAGGGCTGTCTGAGCACAGAAGAAATGGAAGGATGTTGTCTGTACAACAAAGCATGCATAGTCATGACAATGGGTCTGTACCAACCATCTACCCTCTGGGAATGAAGTTTCTGTATCGATAAAAAAAAGTTTTATCCTTCACATGATGCTTTATAAAATGGCTTTACAATGAGTGTCTGGAAAATAGATGCACTGAACAGAGACGATCCCATTTTGTTTACTATATATAAAAAAGCAGTTGTACCTATATCTGAAGCAGGGTACTGAATGTTGAGGCTGGAGAGCCTTAAGACATAGTTGACCTATGATAAGTAACCTTGTAGCATGC